CTCTCTCTCTCTCTCTCTCTCTCTCTCTCTCTCTCTCTCTCTCTCTCGCACACACGTGTGCGCATGCGCACACACACACACCTGACAGCCAGAGATGGGCTATGAGTGTTTCTTCTGTCACTCTCCACTTTAGTTTTATGATAGTCTCTCACTGGACCTACAGTACAGATGTACTGCTATCCTACCTGATAACAACAACTCAAGAACAGCCTCCCCAGCGTCTGAACTTAGATTCTCTTGCTCACACAATGCAAACACTTTGCCCACTTAACAAACTCCCAGGCCCTAGTAAATCTCTTTGAGTTGCAAAATAAAAAAAGAACTGTCTGATGGCCTTTGTTGTAGCTGGCTTCAGATCTGTGTGTTCCTCGGGATGATGGGACAAGGAGAAGGTTCCAGAAAGGAGGTTATGGGTGAGAAAGACTGCCTGATCTTTCAGAGTATAGGTGTATGGATGACAGAGACTTCCCAAGGAAATGATTCTTGATGAAAGCTTAGTAGAACAACTGTCACCTCTCTTTGTCCCCCCTGTGTGGCCCTTCTTCTGAGAAGTCTCCCCCCTCCTCACTGCATGCTCCCAACCTGCCCCAAACCTCCAGCACACACTCCAGAGTTTGGGCTCTAAGATTCCCCTTCCTTGTGAGTGAAGACAGCCTGCAGTCCAAGCAGCCCTTCAGGAAGTGGAATGCTGCCCTTCCTCCTTATTTAAAAGGAATAGTTTTGGAGACTACAAAGACAGGCACAGCATAGCTCTGATGACTTCACATTTTAGGGTTATTTTGGTTCTTGACAACTGATCCTGCATTTATGCTAAGTCCCCCTTTTGTTTCTTTAAGAATCCTCTGTCCTTCCATCCAGAGGAAAATAAACCCTGCTCCTAAGGCCAGAGAAGCCGTGACAAAGCCTTGAAGCATTTGGAGAACATTTTCTGATTGAGTGGAAAGAACTGATTTTGGTTGCCAGCTATTTCTTCCAGAAAAACAAAACAAAACGAAAACAGCTAATGTGCATATACAGAGAAGGGCGACATTTTTCCCCTCTTTGTTTTCAGATTTGCCTTTGAGACATTTACCAATGGGAGGAAGTGAGCATGAGCTCATAGTGTAAGACCTGTTATCTAGAAGTAAGGGAAGGAGGAGAAAGTTCATACGGTTACGGATCTACAGATCAGCAGCAAAATTACTTTCTCTCCAGATTATCCTTTCAATGCCTAGACAAAGGGGTTGGTGAGATTGTTCAGTGGGGAAGATGCTTGCAATCAAGCTTGATGATCAGAGTTAGACTCCTGAGAATAACGTGGTGGAAAGGTAAAATGGACTCACACCTAATCAGGACTTTGTAGGAGTGATTAAAAAGTATTGTTTCTGGGTGTGCATGCATATTTGTGCATTCAAATATACATATGCAAATATGTACAGACACAAACACATATTTCTGTGCACATAAAGGATATGTAGATAGGTAGATGGATGCAAACACGAACATCCATCCTGTATCTATGTAATACATAGAGAGAAACAGAGAGAAAAAGGGAGAACCTACATGGTGCTTATCAAAATCAGTCCCATCCTTTAGAAAGACAGATTAGTCAGAAAGGAAACCAGCAAATTCTCTTCCTCCCTTAGAAAAGTCTGCCCAACTGGAGATCCTGAGCATGAATGCTTCTGGCTTTTGCCAGCAGGCATGATACCAAGGTGGGGTCTCAAAAGACAAGCGTGCTTTTGTGGTAGATAACTGTTTCCTTGGCCTCCGAATAACTGTGGCTATATTCTTACAAAGAAAATTGGCACCTACTTTGTCCATTAGTTTTCTTTTTCCAGGGCTGGAAAATTCACTTCCTGAAGCAGAGGAGTTACAGTGCCTAAAGGGACGATCCTCTTCCTTGTCACCGCTAGCAGCTTGTCTCTAACTGTGACCAAGCCTCCATGTCACTCCCTAGACTTGGGGGATGTGTGTACACTTCATCCAGTATCGCCAAGGGTACATGCGAAATCCCAGCAGAACTCCATTCTGGTTTCCACCAACCTGCCTGTGTAAGGGGTACAGGCAGCTCCTGTTGCTCATCCTTGGAAGACGATCATAGTTGCACTTACTCTCTTATTTAGCAGGACTATGTGGGCCTTGATTGTGTGATGGCTCTATGCCTAAGGCCATGGAAGCAAAGATTTATTTCTTTCCTCATTTATTTTTAACACATACAATTGGAGGAAGTCGTTATGCTAACTCACAGATTCCTGCCCTGTAAGGGTTTGTCATCTCATGTTCTTTCCCCTTTTTATCACATTAATTCTCCCCCTCTTTCTCATGTGTATGCGTGTGTTACAATGATACGTACATGTGTATGTGTGTGGTGCATGTGAGTGTATGGGTGGTCACGCTCATACATGACCATGAGAAGGCCAGAGAAGGACACTAGATGTCTTCCTCTAGTGCTGCCCATCTTATGGCCTTCTCACCAAAGTTCATAGTTTCTGCTAAGCTGGCAGGTCACTGCGCTCTTGGGATCCACCTGTCTCTGTCCCCCAGTGCTGGGGTTACAGGTATGTAGAGCAATGGATGATGTTTTACATGATGCTGAGGATTCAAGCTCAGGTCCTCACACTTGTGGAGTAAGGAATCTTATCCATTGAAACCCTGCAAATAAAATCTCATAATTTATCTTTTTTTTAGTATACAGTCCAATATTCGTAGATCAATATTTTACTGTACTTAGTGCCAAGAACAAAGCCCACTTTCTTTCTTGAATGAGTTTGTGTAACAGAGCTGTCCATCTGCTGCCATGGCAACAGATGTAGATGCTAGTGAGGCTGCCCAGGTTGCACTCATCTCAGGTGAGGTGGAGCCTGTGAGTACCACAAAGAAAGCGTTTATGTTCTGATAACGATAAAAAACATGCATTAATATCCTCAAGGAGGCACTTGTAACAAAGAATACATGTGGAAATAGTCGGAGAAGCTGAAATTCTAACATAAGTCATTGAGATGATTTGTAAATCTGAAAGACTCGGGAACCTAGATATCCTGCATCAGTGATTTAAGGCAGAAACTGGCTAAGTTGCAGCCCCCTTTCCAGTCGTTTCTTTAATTCCAGAGGCACGGTTCTCGTCAGATGGCTTGCATTTGACTTTTTCAAACAATAGCATGTTCAGTGGCTCAGAGTCAAATCCTGAGTCTCTTATTCCAGAGGCTGTATTTAAAAAACAGAAAGGGTTTTCCTGAGGTTTTGATCTTGGAGATGTTTGAGTCCACTTCTTAAGAGAAAATATTTAATGAGAATTGATGTATCTCAGACTGACTTTTCCCCAAGAAGACATTAAGCCAAGGATTAGAAAACAAAGTGTGCACTGGAGGAATTGACCTGCAACATATTTGTAAGGAAAGGATGAAGAGAGACTCAGAAAGGATGGATGCAGTAAGTAGAACCACAAATGTGGACGCCTCTGTAGGCAGTTATGGCTTTCTCTGCCTGGGGATATCCAGGACACAAGGAGGGAGACCCCACCAAGATTTCCCACTTGGACAGGGAAGCTGGATGTCTATTGCCCAGTTTCAGCTCCCAGCCCTAGACAGAAAGATGGCTGACAAGACCGCGTGGCCCTGAGTCATTATACCGTTAAATTCCTTTCATCAGTTTGATTCCTCGGTCACCTCCACACATCGCCCTACTTACCGTTCTCCTTTACTAGAACTAACCAATCATAGTTTGAACTGTGTGTATTTCACTCTAGAGTCCTTGCTCCTCCCACACCCATCGTGTGCATGCTGTAGATGTAGCCAGTGCCATTTCTAATTTTGTATCTTTTCCCCAGGAATGGGCACTGTAAATTAGATAGAGACAAATAGGCTGCTTTGCCTGGGGTCTGAAGCACTGAGCTAGTTTGACCCATCAGAGACCAGGAATTCACTCCTGCTGTCACTCAGGTCTAACTCTGGCCATGTGGATGTGAAGAAGTTTATAATGTAGTCATCTTAATATTCAATGCATTTCTCTGTAGGTTGTACTGCTGGCAAACTTTCAAATGTCCTCTTAGAAGTCAAAGAAGTCATTGGAAAGAATTTTTATTAAAATATTGGGTTTGTTTGTGTGATATTTGCTGTTACTATTGTTACTTAAGATCATCAGGATAATATATCAGTTATTTCATATGGTATGGACTGCTTCACCAAAAGAATACTTATCAACCACACTCTCTGGAAAGAGGAGATGGTGGTCTCAGAATGACACTCAGAATGTGCTGCTTTGCAGCAATGATTCTTGCTTCCTAGGGTTGTCCTTGGAAAGGGAGCAATCAGACAGCGTGTACAAGTCAGGTTTAGAGTTAGTATTCAGCGTGTACTTTTCCCTTTGCCTTCTCTTGGGTCACCTGCCTTTACTTTGTGGGGAAATAATACCATGGTGACCTCGCAAGCGTATCTAAGACAGAAGGTATTTGAAAGCCACTCATTCATGTGCCAGTTTGTCATCTGAAGCCCCACACTCTTCCAAACTGTCTTAACCGAGTGGGAATTCTTCCTCTGTTTTCATGGTTCTCATTGTAGCCGGCACCCGGGACAGTCCATGCACTGCTTCAGATTTTGAGTTTAGCGCAGATAAGGCTGAGCCGCCCTCTCTAGAAAGCCTCGGGACAGAAGTCTTTAGGTTTCTGCTTATTTTCGTTTCCGACTGTGAAATCTTTGCTTGTGCATAGTGAGAGATCTTCGAGATGGGACCCAAGCACAAACACAAAATGCGTTTACATTTTTTACATACCTTATACACACAGTCTGGTGGCAAATTTTATAAAATTTCTTTAATAATTTTGTGCATTAAACAAGGTTTCCTGGTGTGTAATTTTCCACTTATTGCATCATGTTGGTGGTCAAAATGTTTCCAGTTGGGAGGACACTTCTGATCTGGGGTTTTCAGATTCGGAATGCCCAATTAAAAAAATTATGCATGTATTTTGATTTTGCTTTTTCTTTTAAGATTTACTTGTAGGAGCATTTGGAAAAGGGAAAGTAGCTGTCTACAGGTATGTGGTTGCTGGTATGCAAATATTCTTCTGCTTTAAATGCATTTTCCTACTTGGGTAGTTTTGCCTTAAAGACTCCAAAGACCTATTCCCCTGTTTATCCTGAAGAATGTTTCTATGTCTTTTAAAAATTCTGGGTGTATTTTTCTCTCTGTTTTCCACCTTTCTCTCATTTCTACATATTTTCATTCTCAGGCTTTATAAGCAAACCTCTAGCTCCTACCAATGTAACTGCCATGGAATCAGCTATTAAACTCTTGGAATGAGAAAATGGCCCATGTTTTTAGAGGGACCTGAACTTGGACTGTCAGTACTTTGGGGATCGTCAGTGACCATACATGCAGGACAGAATTATGGCAGGGGGAATGTGGCTATTTACCCTCACATCCAAGTGTGGACAGGAAGTTGGGACTAGAACATGCCAGGAGTCATCCCTTCCAGAAACAAGCCCTCTGCAGCATTAGTGCAACAGACTTAGGTTCAAACCCTGACCCTTCCAGACACTAACTCTTCTGTAATTTCCGGAAAAGCCATAGTAGTGGCTCTCAGCCTTACTAATGCTGTGACCCTTTAATATGGTTCCTCATGCTGTGGTGACCCCAACCATAAAATTATTTTTGTTTCTACTTCATAACTAATTTTGCTAGTGTTATGAATCATTTGGAGACAGAGGGTCATGACCCACAGGTTGAGAATCACCGTCCTATCACCTTCTAAGCCTCTAGTTCTCATCTGTAAAGTGAGCTATCCGTACTTACCTTGTCAGTTTACTTCTGTTCTAAGGACTCGGTGAGAGTCTGAATGCAAATTTTGCTGAGTAGTAGCTGGTTAGGTGGTTGAGCTTTCTTAAAATGTTTAAAATGAATCCAAGGAACTAGATTAGGATTTCCAGACCAAGTCATAGGTGAGCGCAGGCACACAGACCCGATGTGCAGGTGTCCCAGGTATGTGATGCTATGGTGGCTTTATCTCCCAGACAGACCCTAAGGTTAGCTTTCTTCACACTAATGTGTCGTGGGCTGTTTTGTTCTGCTCTTCTCACTTAGGATACAGAGGTGAAACTCCCCGCACCTCTGAAGTATGAAACTTGGCTTTCTTACGGCTGCACATTTACACCACCAAGAACCCTGCTTTGTTGCCACCCTCCAAATCCACCGCAGCTCTGTGCCAATCTCATATTTTCTGTGAGCTACTCCCAGCCTATTGTTGGCACAAGGACATAAATGCACGCCGGTCCTTGGAGACAATCCTGTCACAGGATCTCTGCCCAAGGATGCCCCAATGTCCACGCCAGAATTTTCTCCTCCCCCCCCCCCATTTCCTCCACATTCTTCTCAATGGTGATTGCCACAGCAAATCTCTTGCATGCCTAATACCATGTTACTATCAAATCCCCACCCCCAGAACTGGAGAAAATACCATTTTGAAAATAATACCATACAGTTAACATCCAGAGGCTTGTAAAATATCCCAGTGGCCCCATGCTGTTATCATGGAACTGTTTGAAGTCTTTGCACAGCATTTGCCTCTAGATATGACCCCCCCGCCCCGTCTGTCAGAAGATTCCTACTCAACATAGCTTTGGAGCACACTTAACTCTGGAAAAAAAGCACACTTAACTCTTGGCTCCCTGTGTGTGTCTCTGATAAAGATACTTTGAGAGCTCCCCCACTTTCCTACTCCATGATTTACTCTCTTATCCTGTTGTCTCTAGGGTGGCTCTAATGGCAGGTCACATCCATTCCTCGCCTCAGATATGACTATGACTATTAGAATCAGCTGAGAATGTGTTTAAAATTCCAACACAAACCCTTAGCCTAATTCCATTGACCCAGGATGATGTCTGGGTGTAGTATTTGTTCGAAAGCTCCCTGAGTAATTACATTGTGCAGATAAGACTGAGAAGCACTTGTCAGAGTGAAATACAGAATTGTTCTATAAACTCACTTTCATTTGTTCTTGAACTGCAAAGCTTAGCTAGAAAATTACCAATCGAGTTGAAAAATTATCAACGAGCCAACAAATTTCAAAAGGCTCACCTACGTATTATGAGAAGATGTGTCTGGGGTTGAAGAAGTGACCTAGTGGTTAAGAGAGCTTGCTGTCCCTGCAGAAGACCCAAGTTTGGTTCCCATATTCCACATGGGGTGGCTCACAACTACCCATAGCTCCAGGACGTCTGATGCCCTCTCTGGATTCCACAGTCACCAGCATGTGTACATAGATATAAATAAAATTAAATAAATCTTTAAATAAAATATATATCTTCTCAAATATGGACATAAGGCCCCTTGAAAATCATGAAGCTGTATTATAATCATACTATATTATCACAATATAGTGAGTCCACTCCATAAAGAAATCAGGTCAATGGACGTAATGTGCTTGTAACGGACCACCAGCATCCTTTGTCGGAGCTCTCTGCTCTCAGATGGTTTAGAGGGATAATTTGAATGTGGTACCCACTTGTTCACATGCCAAGAGCAAAATTCACTGTGCAAAGTTGGATATGTTCGCAATGACCTCTAGGAGAGTTCCTCTGATGAGGAAAAGATCCCCTCCATGATTCATGAGTTTCTCATGTCCTGGCTTTCTCCTTCCAGAGCAAGGCCAGTTGTAACAGTGGATGCCCGGCTCCTGCTACACCCGATGATTATCAACCTTGAAAATAAAACCTGCCAGCTTCCAGACTTCCCCACACCTGTAGCCTGGTAAGTGAGCCCAGTGCTACACACTTCTAACATAGACTCAAATCACCTGGATCTTATTTATTTTTAAAAATGCAGATTTGTATGAGGAAAGTCTGGGGTGGAACTCTGGGGTCCTGCACTCTGCATATCTAGAAAAATCTTCCAGAGGATGTTGAGATCTCTGGACTGTGCAGACTTTGCAGACGAGCGCTGATGTGATACTGAACTCTGACTGTGGGCTCAGACAGAGGCCAGCACTCTAACCTATGGGTCTGAGATTTAAAAAAAGACCAAAACAGTTGGGAAATTCCTTGTTAAACAAACTTCTTGGCACACTAAATGTTAACCAAACCAAAAGCACACCAAAACAACTCTTACTTTTGCATAGATTGTGGATACAGCTTTTAAAATCTATCATGTCTCTCTTTTTTAAATAAATAAACTAGTCTGGATTACTTAGTTTCATGTACTAAAAATAGCAGTTTTGTAACTTGGCATGGACAACTAGACAGAAGGTCAATGCTATAAAAAAGATTTTCGTACAATGACCTGTTCTTACGACCATGATATTACAAGAATAAAAGGGACAGTAGGAAACATGGCGTATCCAGCTTTTGACTTATACCTGTCACTTGAAATGACCATGTGGAACTGGATTGTATCACATCCCCAAGAAAAAACACCAGTTTGTTTGTTAGTGTAGGGGTCCCAGACATCAGATGTTGTGCCGGATCATGGTACCAGGACACTTCCTCTGGAAAATCAACAAAGGTCTTTGAGAGTCACCCTCATTTTCTAGGGAGACTGTTCGGTTCTTGAAAATATCAGAATAAAGACCAGCCGGTCTTGACCCTGAGAAGCTGTTTCCAGCACATCCTAGCACATCACTGATGGCCTTCTGACAGGAGTTCCTGTGGGAGTCTAAGCTGTGGGGGATGGGTGGAGAGGTCCAGGTTCCCAAAGAATTCTTTGGAAAACATCCTGTTGTGAGGGGTTCCCTGTGTGGGAAGGCCTATCCTCTCCTTTAACTGCCTTTGAACGTGGCTGGGAAACGCCCTGAGCCAACTTTAAAATGGTTTAAACCATAAAATAGTATAATGAAAACCTGATCTTAGAGAATACGTGAAAGAGCCGGCATTTCCCCGCTGCCTGGCGTGATTAAATGAACACTAGAGGAACTGTGAGAGCTATTTGGCTGTGAGCGTTAAGACTCTAGTATTCTCCAAGGAGCCCTCTGCTCACACCTTCAAAACCATGGCTTTCCACACTACATTCTGTTAAGCACAATGGCAACATTCTACTATAGAACGTGTTTATTTTGAAATAAATGATTTTTTTCCTTAAGAGTTTTATGAATTTAAGAAAGAGGCTGAGGTCTTTTTTCAAACCAATGTAGGACTAATTTCTTTTGTTCAGGAAAAAAAACATTTTTTTAATCTTTGAAAATTTTCATACAGGTATAGAATGTATCTTGATTGTATCCACCCCTCACTCCGTCCCCAGTGCCCCCAGAACTCTCATCACACCTCCCTCACAACTTAATATACTTCTTTAAAAGTTATTTATTTAGCCCACCAAGCCCAATTAGTGCTGCTGATAAGTGCATGGGCATGAATGGTGTCATCCGCTAGGGCCCTGGAAATCCACGGGTGCTCACACTGCTGAGGAAAAGCTACTGTCATCCAGGCTGTCACCAATGGCGAATAACCCCTCCCTCTGCTAATCCCTCTCCTTTTGGCAGTCATTTCCTTGTTGATTGGAATCATGTTACTAGGATAAATTGTAATTTGTTCTGTGGACAAATTATAACAACTGTTGCTTAATTATATGTATCCTTTTCTGAAGATACTTAATTTTTTTCTGAGACAGGGTTTCTCTGTGTATCTTTGGCTGTCCTGGAACTTACTCTGTCGACCAGGCTGGCCTTGAACTCACAGAGATTCGCCTGCCTCTGCTTCCCTGAGTGCTGGGATTAAAGGTGTGTGCCACAATCACCTGGCTGATACTTAATTTTCAAGTGTAAAAGTTTTTGTGTAGTTCAGAATATTGAAAGACAAAGTTGGGGATTGAGGGTATTTCTCAGTGGTAGAGTACCCTGGGTTCTATCCTCAGAACCCCCACCAACCAACCAGACAGAAGACAGGAAGCAAACAGCTGACTCACATAGAATGGTTCGTGCAGTTCATCCAGAGTGCTTGAAAAGCATCTTTGCTCTAACACTGGCCGGATTTGGCATGAACTTGTACTGCAGATAAACCCTTCTGCAAATTCCAGTCACAAATCATTTGTCACTTCCTTCCATGTGGATTTTTGTGTTATTCAGTCAGCTGTCTGGTTGTATAAAATAGCTGCTGTTGGCATTGCTCAGTTAGGAAAAAAAAGAAGTGAAATTCAATATAATAAATATTAAGTTAATTGGTTACTAGTGAGAAAAACTGATTTTTTTCTGTTTTATAAACATAAAACAAACTATCTACTTCTCCAATCTGAATAAAAGAGGTTTTTCAGATATGAATGACATCATGTAAAACCATATACTTTTCATCCTTAAAGTAGAGTTGAATAGTAATAGTTGGGCCAAAGAGATGGCTCAACTGGTAAAGGCCCTTGCCACACAAGCCTTGGGACCCGAGTTCAATCCCCCAAACCTGAGCAAAGGTGGAAGCAAAACCGATCCTACACAATTGTCCTCTGATCTCCACATAAGCTCCACGGTATGCGCCCTCCCCAACAAATACACACCAAGTGCATCTGTGGACAATAATACAGAGATAATTAGAAATAGTGATTGTTCGCTTTGTACGTTCATTGTTATTTTGTACATGTGTGAAATGTTTATGTGGTATATGTGTGTGTGTGCACATGCGTGTGGGTGTGTGCCCACAGGTGTGTGGAGGCTACGGGCTGATAGCAGGTATCTTCCTTAAAAAGTCTCCATCTTGGTTTTGAGACAGGGTCTGTCATTGAACCTTGGTCTCATCAATTAGGCTACCCTGACTGGCCATAAACCCTAGAGCAGTGCTCCTCACCCTTCCTGACGCTGAGACCCTTTAATACAGTTCCTCATGTGGTGATGATCCCAATCATAAAATTATAAAACTATTTTCATTGTTTCTTCATAACTATAACGTTGTTACTGCTGTGAATCATAATGTAAATATCTAATATGCAGGATATCTGATATGAGAGCTATGTGAAAGGGTCATTCAATCCCCAAGGGAGTCTTGACCCACAGGTTAGAACCCCTGCCCTAGAGTCCCCCGCCTCTGTACTCTTTCCCACCCTCAAACCCAGCCCTGGATGACTGCCATTGGGTCTGGTGGGGGAGGGGCATCTGGATGCTGGAGATCCAAATCCAGGTCCCGGGGATCGTGCAGCAAGCACTGAACCATGAGCATCTCCTCCATCTGGCTTTGTACTTTGAAATCAGATTTCACATTTAACTCATTTCTCATCATACACAGCCACGAGCAGAGTTATGCCGTGAAGTCGTTGTCCACCGGTTCATGGGTAGCAAATAGTGTGAGGGTCATGCGGTGTCTGTTCTGCCTTCTGTGTAGAGCAGCCTGTCTGCCAAAAGTTTTGATTAGAGTCACAATGAAAGCACTCAGTTGATTTCATGTCGTTTTTGTTTGGCTTTGTTTTGTTTTTTTTCAGTCAAAAATGCTGAGACTAATGGGTTTTGCTGAATCTGAACATAAATCATAGCTTAAAGTTATATTTCAAATTCAGTCATATTTCACAGTTTTGCCTGACACAATTCATAATTATGTATTGACTTGAGAATAGACCTGGTTCCTCAATAAATATCTATAGATATAGATAACAAATATTTTTCTGTACTTAGAATGGATATTGTCATCCACTTCTGTAGAATTTTGAAATGTTCTTTTTAGTTTAGAGTAGAACTATAGAAAAACTACCACATTGAAAAGATATTTTTACTAGAGTCTTCTTTAGCCTGGTGGGTTCAAGTTGAAATGCTATCATCAATAATTCAGCAGGCTGTAGCAGTTATATTAAATTTGAATGAAAAAATTAAAGTCATCCAATTGTTAACGATATTGAAGCAACAGAAAGGGAAAACTAAGAAAGAAATATAAATATACTCTGACATAATTTATAAACTAAGATAAAGACTTCAGCTGACATCATTTATCAAATTCCTTCTTGCCAAAGACTCGACATCCATTTTCACAGCCGAAACTTACTTTGTGAAAGTTCTATTGCTTCATGTTGGGTAAAGCAATTACTGCATGTAAATTCATTTTAATTTTGTATATTGATAATTTCACCATAAATGTGGATTTATTTTGCCGAGGCTTTGTCTATGCTCAGGAACGGTGAATAAAACATAGGTTAGTGGATGATGGCGGCACATACCAAGAACTTACGGAAAAGCTGGGCATGGAGAAAAATCCATGCCAGAAAATTTAAAGATGTAATTTCCTACCCACCTTCCATGAATAATTCTAACTCAAGGAGAAGGGGGCTGCAGTTTGTGATTTCTCTGGGGAAGTGGTATAAACACTTGGAATAGCACAGACATCTCAGGAAGCTTTTGGCTAATGGTGTGTGGCGAATTGCTTACCCTGAAGGGAGACATTGACTGAGGTCATGGAGACAGATGAATCCCAGATGTGACACATTTTTGTTACGTTTGACACAGGAAGCTGACATCTAATTAAAGCATGATTGGAGGTGGAGAGTATTTACTTCCTTTGAATTCCATAGAAATGCTCCAATCATACTAGAATTTTATCAGTAAAATCTTTAAGACTGCCACTAAATCTATTCTCTCGCGTCTGTGCTTTCTTAGCAATGCGCACAGTCCCTGGCTACAGTGCTGGCTGTTAGACTATTTCAGGAGGGAGGTGAGAATATTTGGTAAAGTCAGACAAAAACAAGTAGAGATTTGTCATTCAGTCTGTGGCCACAGACCAGGGCGTGTTCAGGTCATGGGGCAAACACAATCACCCATGAGTTCTTGGATGGCAGATAGTGCACACTGAAGGCAAAATGAGTGTCTTCAACTCAGCTGGCACTGCCTTTATACCCATATCACTGCTCACCCTTGGCTTGAGTAGCTGCTTTAGCTCTCTCTCTCTCCCACCTCATCTCTCCTTCCACCTTCCAAGTTCCAGGCTCCTCCCAGCAGTGTGACTGACTGGCATTAAAACCAGCATGCTTGTCCATGCTTAGGATTAAATTCACAAGTCGTACCATGACTCCAAAGCCCTATTCACCACCCATCAACCAAACCAGCCAACCTCATCTTCCTGGGAGCTCTAACCACACTGAAACTCTTCAGGTCCCTCGAGTGGAGCCATGTTTTTGCTATTCTCCATACTTTTCCATAGCTTTTCCCCACTGTGTTCCCCAGCTTTCCCATGTTCCAAGGAAAATCTTCATATGTACTCATTGCATAAAGAAACTGGGGTATTAATCAATTGATTAAATCTCTATCACTATTTTCAAGAAAAGCTACCTGTGCCAATTGTATTAGTATTGTGTCAAGCTATGGGAGTGTGTGTGTATTAATGTGTGTGTGTACATGCACATACGTATGTGTATATAATTAAACATATAGAAGGAAATGTTGTGTTCCTTTTATCTGGATGGAGGGCAAGGAAGATTCCTATCTCAGAATCAGAACTTTACTAACCAGCAATCACTGACTACTGTTTTCCCACAGCTTCTCTCTAAGAGTCTGTGCATCTATAACAGGCCAGAGCATTTCAGATACAATAGGTGAGCATATTTTCATTTCTACGGTATCTATGCGAAGAAAACATGACATATTTCTCTGCCCAGACAATAAAAAACTAATGGACCCCTCATTAAAATTCAAATTTCTGTTGCACATTTAAATTAATACTATTTTAATCATGGGCATTAGCAACTAAAAACATAATTTTGGAAAAGTGATATGTTATATATATGTATATGTATATAATTTAAGTTACAAAATATGGGCTAGAGAGAAAGCTTGGCTGTAAAGCGCTCCTGTGTAAGCATGAGGACCTAAATATGAACCAGTAATATATAAAGGGCAAATATGGCAGATGCCTCTGTAATCCGAGTCTGGAGAAGTAGAGACAGGCACTGCCTAGACCTCCCTGATCAGCAGTCTAGACAAACTGGTGAACTCCGAGTTCAGTGAGAGACCCTGCCTCAAAAAATAAGTGGGTGGGAGAAATCAAGTAAGACACCCAGCGTCAACCTCTGACTTCCACACGCACACATACTCACATATAAACAAACGTGCACATATAAACACATAAATATGTGCACACACATATACCGCCCATGCATGCAAAGTCCCAAAACAGTTATATACACAGCAGCATTTTTTTTAATACTTCTTCAACTTTTGTGTTATTTGATCCAACTATGAAAAGAAAAGGTTTCCCTGAATGAGTCCCCACCCCTGACAGCACTGTATTTGTCCAGTGCTGTCCCTCCTGTGACTTTGTTATCCTCTCTCCATTCTTTAGCTCTGGTGGCTGAGGTGCAGCTGGATTTCCTGAAGCAAAAAGGAGCCATCAAGCGGACGCTCTTCCTCCATAACCACCAGCCCCACCTCACGTTCCCCTTCGTGATAAGGCAGCAGAGATCCCTCCACTGCCAGGATTTCAGCGTTTACCTCCGAGTAAGTTTTCTAGAAATCTTTTCCTGGGCTTCTCACATTGGAATCCAGATTCCAACCATTTCTATCTAGTTAACCATCACACTTGCCACAGACATCCCGTCTGTCTAGTCTCATTTTCCTGGGAGGAAACTCTAGTTTGAGGTTGAATGCTTCTTGCTGACCCTGACTTCAACTAACCCAATGATTTGTTGCTATTCATTTCTAAGGCTCCTTTTTTGTTTTTGACAAAATCTTAATAATAACATTTAACTCAGGTGACTTTCATTTTTAACTGCCTTCCCTCCCCCGTACATGAAAGTTCAACACAATTTATTTGATTTTTTTTTTAATCCTATGTGAGTATGTCCTGTTAGATTTTATCAAGATGTACTTAGAGCTGACTTGGGGAAACATTAAGACAACCAAACTTTCATTAAAAATAATTTGTAATTGTGTTTTACAAATTCTGATGAAATTTAAAATTCAAAATATCTGGAACTCAATTATCCACTGCCATGCTGGCAGTTGTTAGACGGTGGTCACTAGTCCGTTTCTTCTCTTCCCATCAGGGAATCCTAGTGAGGACCAAAGAGCCACAGCTGCACTTAAGAGTGCAAATCCAGGCCATGAGCCCCTTCCCCCACCTTAGTGCAGCCTTGACTAGCTCAGCTGGGATGCTGGCTGCTTGCTCAGAGCTTAGCACTGGCTGCCCTCTCCTCACCCCGGGAGGACTTCTGTTCCTTTATCCAAGACATCTTCAAAAGTGCTGAAGGTATTTGTTACTAAGTTCACTGAAACAACTTAAAAGAAATAATAATAATAAAAAGGAACAAGAAGTAAAATGTTTTCTTCTTCTGAACCCAAGAGAAGCTTCTGGCAACTTCACCAAAACATCCTGATGCATGGTGTACTCTGGCACCTGTGGTGCGTATTTTACTGGTGATGTGACTGATGCAGACTCAGGTGTTGGGGTCCGTGGTACCTAATGATTTCCTCCAGTGTAGGGGTTCTCAACCTTCCTAATGTTGTGACCCTTACACACAGTTCCTCATGCTGTGATGATCCCCAACCAAAAGTTATTTTTGTTGCTACTTTATAAGTATAATTTTGCTACTGTTATGAATCGTATTGTAAATATCTAATATGTAGGTTATCTGATATACGACCCCTGCTAAAGGCTCATTCAACTCCCTAAAGGTGTTGTGACCCACCGATTGAGAACTATTGCTCTAGGAGATTCCTTGGCTGTAGGTGATTTCATCACTAACTGTGATGAAATCTTGTTTATTGCAGACCACATATATTAGCACCCAGTTCAGCCTGTTGCGGTGAACATTGTCTTTCACTAATGCTGATGGGAGTCCAGTGTTGCCTGTTTGTCATAGACTAATATCCTGTAGTCATTTCATGGGCTTGAGTTGGTGATTCTTTTTCCTAGGATGAAACTGAATTCCGAGATAAATTATCTCCAATCAACATTAGCCTGAACTACAGTTTGGATGATTCCACCTTTACAGATGGCCTGGAAGTGAAACCCATTTTGAACCACTACAGGGACAATGTAGTTACTGAGCAGGTAAGTCCTTGAAGGCGTTTTTCCTCCTATTCTCTGGAAAGGGTTGTTCCCGTGCCCCCTCATTCCCATCTGTGCACAGAGATACACAGCAGTAGAGACCTGCTCCGAGCGTGTTTCCTCATTGTTATTTGGAAGCCATTCCCTTTATGCAACCAAAGTTGCTTTGTTCAGATGTAGTAGCGATGGAAGCAAAGACAGGCAGTAATCCTAAGAACAGCACAGTTAGCATCCTCTACAGACATTTCAGAGCAAACTGGAAACGGGCAAGGAAATATGCCTCTATCCAGAGATCGCTTAACGTCACAGCAGGTGGAGTTGGGAAGCCTCTGCACAGTGGAACCAAAGCTCTGGTTTAGCTGATAGAATCCCTTAGCATATTCGAGGGAAATGATCTGATTTGAGTGTTCTCAGCTTTTCCTGATGCCTCACTTGCTCAACACAGGCTCACATCCTGGTGGACTGTGGAGAAGACAATCTATGCATCCCCGACTTGAAGCTGTCAGCTAGACCGTAAGTTTAAATAAATAAACGTGTGCATCACACCTGGTGGTCTGTGGGTGTTTACTTAAAGCTGCGTTGGGGAAAGTATACTCTCCCAAGAACTGGGGGTAGGGGAGTGAAGCATGGAATTCTTGAGAGTGGCCACACTTTTGGATTTGCCTCTGATCTGGTCAGTCCTCTGTCACTGGTGTCAAGTGACACACCCTGAGATCTTGCCTGGGCCATTTCATCTTTCAGCAAGAGTCGGGGGCAAAAGCGTTCTTGTTGAAAGTAAACCCATGTGCGGTGTGGCTCAGGTTATGTTTACCTACCTCCGTCAAGTGAGAAAGGGTTCAGACAAGCCAGTTCAGTCCACACCTTAACCAAACTTGTTTTTGTAGCACCCCATGACTCAAAGGCCTCCTTAAAAACTGTCAAAACAAAATTAATTTTAATTTACTTGGGGGAGGACTTAAAAGACACACCAGGGAGTCGAGCAGAAAGTGTCAGAGAGTCAAACGAGAATCAAAGGGCTTCACAGCTGCAAGTAATGGCAAGGCCTGACTCCAGAGCTGGTAATTGCCCTGTTGGGTTCTGGAAAGAAATTGGAGTAGGGCTGAGACACCCCTGGGTGGAAAAGTGGGCTGGACACCTCTCTCCCAGAAACTCCCGCACTGCTAGTGCTTGGAATCCGCTTGGTAATCTCTCAAGGGGACTTGTCCCAACGTTCATAATTTACTCAGTGTCAAAAGCAATGGCTTTGGTGGGTCGGGGGAGTGGAAGAGGCATTTCTAAATATTGATTTCATTTGGAGTTCAAAGTAAGCAAAGCTTCTTAAAATACCTTAGAACCCTCTATCAGTCATTTGAGATCCTGTTTCGCCTGCCTCTTTTTCCCTCTTCTCCTCCGTGTTGCTGTGTGTCCTCGCTCTATTACTGTCTCTAAACACGCCCTCTTTCTTTCCCTACAGCTCGCTCTCTCCCTAATGTGTGTTCTGAATGATATGGAGGAGTTGGGAGCTCTTCATTCTGGCTCTGGAGTCAAATGTTAAGTTTGCAGGAGTTTTGTTAGCCGACTGAACAGTGTGTTGATAGCTTCAAACTGGTCACAGTGGGAGGACACAACACTGGAATCCACAAATGATATGTATCGGTTTTATTTTTTTAGAACAAGTTGTTAAATAGTTGCTTGCACGTCATTGAACATTGTCCCACCCTCCCCACTCAGAAACTGTTCCCTTAAATCTTCCTACCAGCCTTTCTTGACCCGGTACCTTCTTTCTCAGTCCTAGCCTTGCATTTGACATTTTCTTTTTATCCTCCTAAATCATTATTTTTTTCTCTGTTTGTTTGTTTGTTTGTTTGAAGACACACTGTTGCTATGTAGCTCAATAGTTTAGGATGGCCTCAAATTCCAATTCTCCCACCCCAGTCTCCTGAGTGTTTAGATTACAGGCACACAGTATTTAAACTTCTAAACTAGATTCATGAAGCATGTGATATTGAGCTGCATAATCACTCTTTTTAAACTGTGTGGTTTCTTTTTTTTTTTTTTTTAGAGATAAGCATCAGATAATTATCGGGGATGAAAATCACCTTATGCTCACAATAAATGCAAGAAATGAAGGAGAAGGAGCCTATGAAGCTGAACTCTTCGTTATGATCCCTGAGGAAGCAGATTATGTTGGGATTGAGCGCAACAGCAAGGTAAGGCTTGAATCCACATATACACTAAGTCTGATCAACAAGGCTTAATCTTTCATCTCAGAAGAGATCAGAATGGCGCCTTTCTTTGTCAGCTCTGACTAGCCATGAGCCCGGGAGAAGATGGGCTATGAAGTATTAGAGTCTCTCTTTGCCACAGTATGAAGATGAATCAGCCAAAGACCAGGAGCTGAAGCGAGGCAGAGAAAAGACCAGCCAAAGAGGCAGATGACTCATTTCCCAGGCTGACCCCCTCTCCTCACTGACTTTGTGAGCCTGGTTTGAGTCCCTTTAAGTTCCAAGCAGATCACAGGAGGCCTGGTTTTTATTACTGGTGATGGAAGAAGAGCCAACCAGTCCTGCTGAGTACTGATAACAGGCTGAACAGAAACTGCCAAGGAAACGAGTTCGTTTGTCTTTCTTCTTAGTCCACATTTTTGGGCCTGCGACCAGAGAAGAGCCTGTTTCTTCCTGGTGTGCCAGTCCTCAATGTCACTCTTTATTGAAAAGGTACAATTGCTATTTATGGCCTTCTGGATCTTTACCAGAACACGGCTCTTCTCATTCAGTGTGTTCTGGGAACCTGTAGTATTCTTAATTGCTTTGTCTGGGAAAACATTTTAAATAGATCAGTGGGGGCACACATCTAATCCTAGCAGTCAGGAGGCTGGGGCAAATGAATCCATGAGTTGACGACCTACATGAGCTACATATCAAACTAACTAAAAAAGACCAAAACAAATATGCAAGCAAACAAACCAAACACATGGTTATAAATGTCTGATAGATTGGCAGGTCCTCTGTTTCAGAACTGTTCAAGACATGCAATTAGGGGCAGAGGCTAAGTTTCACATTCTTTCATAGGAATAGGAATAGCATGCACTCTATAAATGCTTGCTGTTGGATTTATCTAACTAAAATTTATTATGTGTCCACCACTTTTTCAAGACCACATTCTCTAAGGGAATTTCATAGTCTAATGGTTGAGCAATGTCATGGAAAGTGATCTGTCTGATGTGGTGTCACTGTAAGAGCATTTAAAAAGTTACAGAAAAATGCCTGGTGTGGATGTGTATCCTTATAATCTAACACTTGGGAGGGAGAGAAAGAAGGATCACAAGTTCAAGGTCAGCCTGTACTCTACATATAGGGAGACACTGTCAAAAGAAACAGAGGGGGGGAGAGAGAGAGAGAGAAAGAGAGAGAGAGAAAGAGAGAGTGAGTGGAAGAAGAAGAAGAAGAAGAAGAAGAAGAAGAAGAAGAAGAAGAAGA